TTGGCGCCCGTTTTTTTGTTTCTCTTCTGCCGCGGCAATGGCTACTATGACTTTCAATACTGGATCAAATTCCCCATCATCAAATCATCCCGAGCATGCCATGTCCTATTGCTCAAATATGGTAAAGTCAATCCCACATTTGCCTTTCAGTTTTTTTATTTTTTTACCGCCAACTTTTCCTACTTGCCTTTTCTTGATCTTGGATCAACAACAATGGTGCTTGTTTCCATTTGTTGAGAAGATGCTTTTACTTCCGAGGATCTTGGATTGTTTGCGTGACTCGCCATTGCAAACCAACAAACCGACCACCTTTAACTTTTTTTTTATTTCAAAACAACAAGAATGTTAGAATAAACTACTTTCTTTTCTTTCTTTGTTTTATTCTTTTTTTTTTCGTTTTTTTTTAACCACTTTTTTCCACCTTTTTTTTTTTCAAAATGATTTGATCGAACCTGATGTGGGTTGCCTACGTATCATGTAGAGACATGAATCAGATCTTGCGTAGTTCGGGAAGATCAAGAACTCAAGTAAACTAAACTAATTTTTTTTTCTTTTTCTTATGTGAATTCAGACTATCAGAACTTCTAAAAATAAGAAAATATTTTTGGGTTTTGAACCTTTTTTTTAATAAGGACTTCTAAATAGAAAAAAAATATTTTTAGATTTTTAAATTTGATGTCTCAAAGAAAAACTTCTACAGAAGGAATTAAAGAAAAATAATTTTGAATTTTTGAAAATTGAGGGCCGGAACCGATGAGGTTTGCCTACGTATCTCACATCCGGTGAGAATCAGACCCGCGTAGTTCTGTATATGTTTCAGGAATAGGATACACTTTTTGAAAAATCCAGGTTTATATTGTAATAATCTTTTGGGGTAAATACCGAGATTTTTTTTAAAAAAAAAAACAGGGTAAATTTTCTCCCTTCTGGTTTTTCCTTAATTTTTAAATTTTTATTTTGATTTTTATAAATTTCTTTTTAGAAACCGGTCAACATGCACAAGCCGAATCAAACATAATGCACAAGTAGCAGATAAGATGCATCAGGATGGTCTTGCAATTCTCGGGTACACCTGTCCTAGACGGACCCAACCCCTGTGTTGAGTCCCCAAAGTCGAACGCACATGATGCAAACAAACGTTCCTACTAGGGATCCGGCATGAGGCTATGTTATTCTAGGTTTAAATCCTGGGGGGAGTGTTTTAGACCTGGCTTACCCAAGCGGACAGCCCGAGCCGAGGTGGGGGTAACGTACCGGGAGCACGTAAGTCTACCCCGCCTAGTTACTTGACCCAGCCTCGTTCTAATTGGTATGACTTCTAACAGAAAAGTGGGTCACGCGCACGTGTGCACCATAAATTCAGAAGACTCAGAAGGGAGGCGTAAGAAGACAGTTTAATACAATTCAAATAATATCAAAGCGGTAAATAAGCGGCAATTAGCACATTAGGCCCAAAAACACCGCAATAACATCAAATTAATAAAGCCAAGTATAGATCACATTACAAGCTCGAATTCTAAACCCTGAACAGAAGTTTTGGGTTATCTTCCCCAGCAGAGTCGCCATAGCTGTCACACCTCTTTTTATCCCGAGGGGATATGAGTTTTTCCAATTAAAGTGACATTAATCGAAATGGGATTATTTATTTTATTCAGAGTCGCCACTTGGGATAATTACCAAGTCACCGGTTTATTTTAGATCCCAAATCGAGGAAGATTGACTCTATTTTAAGTCTGCGAAACCAGAAGACCGAGTAAGGAATTCTGTTAACCCAGGAGAAGGTGTTAGGCACACCCAAGTTCCGTGGTTTTAGCACGGTCGCTTAAAAATTTATACTTGGATTAATTAACGGATTATTACATGTTTTAGATCCTATATGCGTTTTACCTTTTTACCGCTTTTAATTGCTTGATTATTCGGTATTACAGAACTATCTTGAAATGAGTCACGCGCACGTGTACCCATTTATTTAGTGCGTTAAAAAAAATCATGTCACGCGTACGTGTACATAACTAATGATGCTTATATAATATTAAAGTTATTTAGCAAAAGTCGCGCAAACGCGTACCTTGAATTATTTTTGAAATTATAATTATGTCACGCGAACGTGTGCATAATCACGATAATTTATTTATAATCGCACCTAAAGCAAACTACGAATATTTTTATTTTTCTTACTTTGAGATTACTACGAATATTTTTATTTTTCTTACTTTGAGATTATTGTGAGGTTGTGAATTATGGATAGGAGATTTTTGTGAAAGCAATATTATGATACCACTATTATAATCATTAAGAGAATCAATTATTCTTTATAGATATTAAAATTCATAATAACTTAATAAAGTATTAACATTCCTATCTTACAAAATACCTAATTAATGTAAATAATAGAAGAACCAAATAAGAATGTACAAAACATGGAAACATGCTGAGGCATGATTAACGAAATATTGTTAATCGGATGTTTCAAAATCAACATCCATTAAATATGATTTAAAACTCACATGAATGTTTTCTTAATCCAAACTAACGAATAACCAAAACTCTAAAAAGTCTACTATAGATGGACACTAACGGAGATCAAAATACAGTAAAAGGACATTAACCGAGCAAAATATCATGTGTTTGATCACCGAGCAACACAGAGAACAAGCAAACAAAATATACAAAGGTGGAGAGAAAAGAAAACTGAACCTTATAGTGAGAAGCTTTCTTAATTATAATCCAACATTTTCATCCCAAAGCTTTATACAATGATGATTCGAAAGGAGCAAAAACACGAGAAAACTGACGACAAGATCTGGACTGAAATGCGCCTCGAACCGAAAACCAAGTCGGCGACCTCGACCCCGACGAACTCAACTTTGGAGCTGCTACTTTTTTAGCGAAGAAGAAGCAATTTTTCTGTATTTTTCGGTTGGTTTGAAGATTATTCGACAACCTTTAATGGTGGTTTGGTTGCCGTGATTTTTTTAAGCAGAAGAAGAAGCAGGAGGCATTGGCAGATGATTATTGCTGGAGGTCGTTCCTCTTTTTTCTCCCCCCCTCTCAACTTAACTTGCAGTAATCTTTATAAAGAGATGTTAGTGGTTTTTGGAGTAGGGAACGTGATTGGAGTGGGGACGTGATGGTCGTGTGTTTGTGATGTTGTGGGTGTGTGATTATGGGGTAGGGGGAAGTTGGGATTTGTTAGCTAGATTTTTTGAGATAAAGTTTGATATTACAAACTTTTATCTCTTTTAACGTAACTTCTTCTTCTTCTTCTTCTTTTAATTTTTTTTGTCTTTTATTTTAAAAGATAAATTAAACTATAAATATAAAAAGATTAACTAGCATTTCTCACAATATAGAAAAAAAACTAAATATTTACATGCATTTTAAATGATACTAAGAAAGATTCTATAGTTTACTTATTAAAAGAAACCATATATATTTTTAATCTTTTTCTTTTTATTTTTTAACTTTTTCTTTTTAGAATAAATTTTATATTCTAAGAATGTATTTATTTATTTTTTAGT